GAGCTTAGACCATATTGGGTCAAGATTGTGCCTCATTTAAAAAAAACTGATAGAGTACAGTGTATGTGCATTTTTTCTTTAAACTTTTAAATGTTTTATTCAAGTGAAAAGTCATTTTCAAGAAAAAATCTGGTACTTCCCTTTGAAAATTTCCATCTCTTGTACTACCCAGGAATGCAAAAATTTTACAACACCTTATTATATGGCTCGCTCCATGAATGGGCAAGATGAATCAAATCCTGGGCTGTGATTGGCTACCCGAGCGGGCAAGATGGAGCTATCTTGCCCACTCAGGACTACCCGCCGTGTCCTGTTAAAAAAAATTTCCCCAAAAGCCATATAATAAATCCTTCATTGACCAAGCTTGTTCGTTCAAGATGGCTGGATATTGTCCTCATTCTTTTTTGTGAGTTTATGGACCTCGACTCTGTCTCGGTCCATAAACACGCAAAAACAGAACTTGGCCAATATCCAGCCATCTTGACTTCACACTTGGTCAATAACCCATATATACTATCCAATTTCCCCTCTATTATCTGTCATGTGGTTGCCTAAAGGAGTTAAAAACAAAAGAAAATTTCAAACTTTTTACTCTAAAAGTGTTCGTGGTCACTTATACAAGAGGTTCCAAATACAATAATTGACTTGGAAACTTTTGGTATTTTGGAAAACTGGTCATTGAGGAGATGTGGTCGCTTTTGAGAGGTGGTCGCAACCAGAGGTTTTACTGTGTTTTATGACAGAAACAGGTCTAAGAGGTGAAAGCCATTAGGGAGGGGTAGGGAACTAGGGAAGTTAAGTCCTCTCCCCCAACCACCACTCCCATCCACCATGTAATGTCAACAACTTTAGCTATCTACATGTAGTTTCTATTTTGCAAGTATCTTGATTTTCCAATGTTCTCCATTTTGCCATCAACTGGCTCTGTACTTTTTTGTAGACCTGAAGTTTGGGCCAGACGAGAAGCAGAAAAGATTGTCGCTGCTCGTGATGCCGCCTATGCAGAGGCTGTTGCAAAGGGTGAGCCTGTCGATGAAGGTGAAGACATTGGCGATTTTAAACCCAGTGATATGAAACGTATATTGTAAAGTCGGTTGTTAGGATGAGTATTTTGTTTACTCGAGGCATTAGGTAATTTTTATCCTTGATCATGTGATCAAAACCTGCAGAACAGCCAAAAATGTGAGTGCATAAACTGAAAAGAAAAAAAAGTGGGTAGTTTGTCAAACATGTTTAGAATGGCCAAGTTACGTGTAGTTTT